TATGAATCCAAAATTTAGTTGACTAAGGTCAGCACTTTTTCCACCATTCCAAAATGCCTCAAAGCTTGATTGATTTACACAATTACAAACAAAGGTCGAATATTTTTATTAAAGGGTTGAATCTGTATTTACCCAGAATTTTCAGTGAATGGGATTTTTTTATACTGGAAACTTTTCCACTGGAACAGAGGCTCTTAAATATGTGTATTTGTGTTGGGAAGCATATGGACAAGTTTTCAGAATAAAGTTTTTTAAATGCATAAAGTAAAATGCAAGGTTTACAAAAAATAAATTATATTGCAATACAATGATCAAAATATTAAAAATATTCAAAGATCTCAGGTAAAATACATCTGTACCAGAGTATAATCTCTTTGAAGGTAGAAATCACATATCTTGGATGTCTTAGCATCTTCCATAGCACCTAGCAAAGTGCATTGCAAATAGTAGATGCTAGCCAGTTTGAAATGAATGACTATAAATAGAAACATTAGGAGGTATAAGGAGAGAGAGAGAGAGAGAGAGAGAGAGAGAGAGAGAGAGAGAGAGAGAGAGGGAGGGAGGGAGGGAGAGAAGAAAGACAGTATCAGAAAGGAAGAAAATGAAGCCTGAAGGGACTGGTGAAAAATGAGTACTTGGAAATGTTTTGACTGTACCTCTGACAATAGATAATAGTACAGTGAAAATCACGGAATCACAGCTCCTGTGGTGAAGGGGATCTACTCTGGCCATCTAATTTTAAGGTAAAGAATCTGAGGACCAGAAAGATTAAGCAATTTGATCACAGTTAGCAGATAATACTTCTAGGGTACATACTGTACTCTAGTTTGCCATTGCTTGAACTAAGTTGATAACAACTAAAATTCTTACAACACACTGAAGTTTATGAAGTGTTTTATATACTGTCGCTGTTTTGAGCCTCACAACTCTGGCATAGTACAGTTATTTAGTAGCTACATTTTACATATCAGAAAACCATAAAACAAAGATGTTTAATAACTTGTTCAAGGTCATACAGTCATAAATGTCAAAGGTTGTATTTAGATTGAGTTCTTGCTTCTTCTAAGTTCAGCTTTTTAGGCCCTGTGCCATACTGTCTAATGTCACAGTTTGCTAGAGAGGCTGCCTACGTAAACTCAGTTTCTTCAGGACAGTCTTTCCACTTTATTGCCCCCTCTTCATTAGGAGCAGGAATGAATAAATAAGAAAAGAAAGGACAAGGAAGAGAAGGAGGTAAGTTGCTCAAAGCCTGTCATTGTGCAAAAAGTCATACTACAGCTGTTACAGTATGTTACATTCTTTCCCCTTTCAATATGCAATGTAGACATTTAAAGATTTTCCTCCTAGAGTATATATTTCAAGACAAAAAGTGGATCATTCCTCCCAGTTTCAACAAAGGCAGAGGGATACTTGTTCTTATATCATTGTATCATTATCTAAACTTCCATAGTCATATAGAAGACATGTTACTGTAAAAACAGTTGTGAAAAGGGAAAAAAAACTTAGAAATGAAATTGATGGAATTTGCAGGATTTAAGAAAATGAGATTTGGAAAACAGTTTAAAGCTTCTGGTAGGCTCATAGTTGATACTGTTACAAATGTCGGCTCTCACAAAGAAGACTGCTCCCAGAAACTGATGCCATTTTTAGCATAAAAAATATGTATGTACACATATAGCAGATGTGATGACTTCTTTTAAACCCTGTCATAGACAAAACTTTATCTACCCCTTTGACAAATTTAACCTAGCAGCATTTCAGTAAATTACACATCCAATTAGTAGTTAAATAAAACTTCTGCATATGTTACCATCATCATAGAATGAAGGAATGTAGATGACATGGAAATGTAGTTCTACTTTATTGGTAACTAAAGAGCATTCTACTAAGAAAGCAAATTCAAGTACTTTGGTATGCATTGTGGCACAGAAATAATTAAGGGAATCCACTATAATTTATGGTTTCATTCAGTAGTTGGGTTTTTCCTGAGAAAATAATCAATCTATAGATAAAGATTTTTACAAACTTAAGCCAATTTGACTTGTGAAAGAATAAAGGTATGATTTGAAACATTACACACATGGGGAATTCAAGGAAAGAGGAGGGGTTTGCATGCTCCTCCTTACATACACCTTCATTTCCCACTTACTTGAGGTAAAACAAATGTATATACCAAGTAAGAGACAAATCCCATTTTTTGTTCAGATATTAACTATGAGAAGAAAAAATTGAATCAAAGAATCACAGCACCCATGAGTAGGAAGGTAAATCAAATCATCTAGTACAGGAGTTCTTAACTCTTTGATATCATGGTTCCTTTGGGCCCCTTCTCAAATAATGTTGGATATTTAAAAATAATAATTGAGAGAAATGCTAAATTTCATTTAATGGTTAGTGAAAATAGATATGTAATTTTTTTCCATGTAACTTCACAGAACTCTTGAAATCTGGCCAGGGGTGAAATCACCAGGACTTTATGTTAAAAATACTTCATCTAGTGCATCCCATTATCTGAACAGGAATCTTCTCTACAACATTTCTTGGAAATGGTCATCAAAGATGTTTCTGAAGATTTGTGGTAAAGGGAAACCTACCACCTCCTGAGACAATCCATTTCAATTTACTACAATTTTAATTTTTCTAATGTCTAGAGTAAAGAAAACTATATTTCTAAAAGACAGCCTTCTAATTTTTTAAAGACAGTTTTTTCACTGTCCACTATTGTCCAGATTAAACATCCATTTCAAATCCCTTCAAATAAATCTTATAAGGTATGATTTTTGAGCCTTCTCACCATCCTCCTCCAGATGTCCAAAGTCCTTCCAAGACTGTGTTACTCAAAACTGTGCAAAACATTTCAGAGGTGGTCTAATCCAGAACAGAGTACTTCCTTGTTCTGATATTCAGTATCTGTTATAAAGCTGCCCAAGAAAACATTCCTTTTTTAAAAATTTCTTTTTGTTGTTTATTTCTTTTTCTTTTGTTTTATTTATCAAGTTATAATGTTGAATCACATGGAGTTTGTGGTCCAATGACACATCCAGATTTTCATCACATAAATTTTTATCAAGGCCAGTGGTGTCAAAGTCCAAAATAAACAGAACACTGAACAGCATATTAAGTTAGAAAACCATAAATTATAATTATCTATAATTAATTGCATTCCAAGTTACATTTTAATAGGTTGAGGCCACACGTGGACAGTGAGTCTTATATCTTGAACTAAAGACACATTTTTCCCATCTCATACTTGCCCAGTTGATTTTTGAATCAACCCTTTAGGAGGCTTTCCATATATTGCTGATCAATTTCATTTTGTTAGATTTGTCCCATCATTTTAGCTCATCAAAAAATCTGTTTGGATCCTGATTTTATTACCCAATGTATTCATTATTCCTAACAGCTTATACACAAATTTGATCAGCATGCCACATACGTTTTCATCCAAGTCTAATATAGTATATTGAACAGAATAGTGTCACATCAAGAACCTGGAAGTACAGGACTAGAGAAATTCCTACAGATTGACATTGACCCACTAGTGACTACTTTTGGAGTCCAATTTGTCAAACTAACTGCACCATCACATATCCCACATTTCTTCCATATTGTCCACAAGGATTATTTAGAGACTATGCTAGTAATTTCTGAAATCCAGACATATTCCATGTCTACAGTGTTCTTCTGATCTACCAGTCTAGTAACCTTGTCAAAAAAGGGAAACAAAGTCATTTTTCATTTTCCCAAAGATTTCTCTTTGGAATAAAAAAGTTCAATTTTACCATAAAGTCATTAAAAAAATTCCCAGTGGAAAAAGGGAACTTACTGCACTTTGGGTAAAATGACAGTATGTTCAAATGAAGAGAAGAGCATGCGTGATCAAGATTCAATTTAAAAGGAAACATTCAAAGAAAAAAAGTGAAAATTGCTTTGAAATGACTTTTTTCTTATTGCTATCTTTAAATGATTATTTTTCTAGTAACCTGCTTATTGTATTATAGCTGACACAACTTTTTATAAAATAAGCATGTAATAATAACTATATGTTTTAATATTGAATTATGTTCTGTTTATAAATCATTTCTCCCCTAGATCTTATTTGGAAGTTCTTTTTTAATGCTATCTATATCTATATCTATATCTATATCTATATCTATATCTATATCTATATCTATATCTATATCTATATCTATATCTATGTCTATGTCTATGTCTATCTATGTCTATGTCTATGTCTATGTCTATGTCTATGTCTATGTCTATGTCTATGTCTATGTCTATGTCTATATCTATATCTATATCTATATCCATATCTATATCCATATCCAATCTATATCCATATCTATATCTATATCTATATCTATATCTATATCTATCTATATCTATATCTATATCTATATCTATATCTATATCTATATCTATATCTATATCTATATCTATATCTATATCTATATCTATATCTATATCTATATCTATATCTATATCTATCTATCCACACACACATATGTATATATGTATGTATATATACGTACATATGTATGTAGTACATACACACATACACACGTGTATGCACACACATATACACATACATGCATGCAAGTATGTGTACATGTACATATCTATATATATACATATATGCATATATATGTTCTATGATTTGTATCAGAATTTGAAATATCCAGAAGGACAGTAAAATACAAATTCAAGGAGAAAAACTAGAAGACAATAATCATATGAAATCCTTAGTCCCCTATTTTTTTTTCTTTTCAGAAAGAACTCCAGGATACATTATATTGACATTGGAAATACAGACATTAATTAAGCATCTGAAAAAATGTATAACATTACATCTTTTTAAGAGATACAAACTCCATAAATTAGCCAAGTAAAACATCATTTGCTAGTAATAATTTCATGGAAAAAATACATAAATGAAGCTCTTGAGGTAAACTACCCTTGACAATCCATACAAAAATCTATCTGTAATTGGAAATCCTTACCTTGACAGGTGCCATTTTTCTCCTCATACCCTGCTTTGCACATGCATTTCCCAATTGGAACCAACCATTCTCCTTCAGCACTGCAATGCATCTTGGGTGCTTCGTCAGTCACAGAGTGGTTGACACAGGAGCCTGACACTTCTAGCAATTGAGAAGAATCTGCTCCAGTGATTGTGTCTGGAAACACTGCCAAATTTCGAACCACAGAAGGACATTTCTTGTAGTACACACGCACTGATACTAGAGCAATGCAGGCACCCACATCTTGGAAAGCAAGATAAAATCCCTTTTTGGTCAGGGGCCCAACATCTCTGACTTCTGTATTAAGTTTCATGACTCGGTCACCAAGGTCCAGTTCAGTAAAACTTTCATCTGCAGCAATTGTATCGATCTTGATATATTGGTTTTCTTTGATATTACGCCCATCCTCATCATCAGATTCAAAGTAATACATATTAAAAGTCTCCTTGCATGTCCCAAGTCCTCCTGGAAGGCTATTACAGTCCCTCAGAGTAAACTTGAGTTCTATGAATATTCTGGAAGCACCTTCATTGGAGATCCAACTGGTCAGAAGCCAGTTATTCTGGCTTTGTTCCATAACTTTGCATACTTGATAGGTGTGTATTGGGGCATAATTCTCATCAACTTCTCCAATCTCTTCCCACTATACAGTTAAAAAAAGAGATAACAAATTTCATTAGACAAAAATGCAAATATTAGTTTCTATTATTAGTTTAAGTTTATAGAAATGGAAGGGCTATAAAATTCATTTATTTTTCTTCATATTGGCCTGTATTGGACCAAATTACCCCTCTCCTGCCTCTTACCTATAATCTCCATAGTTTTAGGAACTACAAAAGAAAATTTTCCAAAAAAGACCTTTAAAAGAAGGTCAAAGAAAAAAAGAAGAGTTCTGATGAGAGTATTAGGGGAAAAAAGGAGGCAGAGTATATATTTCTGTGTCTATCATTATGGGTGGAGTTGACATAAAATAAAAAATGGGAAGAAAGGAGAGAAAATGTAAAAAGAAGGAAGAAAAAAGACAAAGAGAGATTGGGGTAAATAAAACATAATCTCCATGACTAAAACTTCTAGTTACTTCAATAAATATGATATAATTATGTACAGTTAACATACATGTATTTTTGGTCTAGAATTAGAATTACATTACTGTAGGTAACTCCTGTGAAGAAAGTGCCTCTACCAATGTAGATCAACAACTGTTGTTCAATGTATAGTCTTAAAGTGTTCTTCCAGGTGAACAACTGGCTAATGTGTGCAAAAGATGGGATTTGAATCAAGTTTTACCTCTCTATCCACTATGCTATTCCTGTTTCTCTATTACAACAATGTGTATTGCAACAATGAAATAGGTAATAAATTCACCAATGGGTTTTGTTGTGTATAGGCACTATATGTTTCTTCCTAATTTGGATAGATTTTATCTAGCTATCTTGCTATGTGCATAAATACAGAAAGCCTGGCTGTTCCCACATACCAAAGTTATTTTTTTCTGGTATCTTCACAATGCACTAATTCTTTTCTACTGATGATGAAATCCTAGTAACCCTAGGTAGTAAATCCTAATAGAAACTCCTGGTGCCATGGAGAAATTTACTTCGGCACTTCTGTGGAAATGTAATTTCAGTGGTATGGATGATCACTCTGCCAACAGAGGAGAGCACCAATAGAACTTAGTAGACAGTCTTCAAGAGTTTCTGGAGCCTAGAAAACATATCACCCTTAAGCTAACCATGTAGTGGATGTCCGAACTTAGATAAACGTTTCCTTGGAGACAGTCTACTAACAGGGATATACCATGGAAAAAAAATTACCTTTGGGGAAAATCAGATTTGGCTTTATTCACTTCAGTTCTAAGTGTATCAGGGGAATTGAATTAAACAGACCAAAGAATGCAATGACCAATAATACTTCCAGAGGATCAATGATGAATAATTTGATTCATTTTTTGAGAGAGAAGTGATGGACTCAATATGCAGAATGAGATATACATTTTTAGAACGGCCACTATGGGGATTTGTTTAGGTTGATTATGCATATTTTATAAGGGTCTTGTTTTGTTTCGGTTTTTAAAGGAGAGATGAGAGAAACAAGAAGATAAAATGTTTGTTAATTTTTTAAATGTAAAAATAAAATAAAAGTAACAACATGTCAAAAAACCCCACAGCGATGAAATAGTACTGATCCAGAATTTGTGATTTTGTTATTCCTAGGAGCTTTTTGGAATGAAAAATATTCAAACTTATATATTTAGATATTAAATACAGTATAATTTTCATATTTCTGGTCAATCCATAAACAACTGAAGAGGAAAAAGACACATGTAGAATGAAAATAAATTGTAATTGCAATTTATTTTCATGATTTCATGACTCACTATTTCCACTTGGTATCAAAATTCTAACACTCATCAAAGATAGGGCAGATTAGAAAGCACTAAGGAGGTAAAATTGATTATTTCTGCAAGCTCACAATGGAAGATATGAAGATTTTCTCATGGAATCCACCTTACATCATTTTACATAAGCTATGTTGTTTTCTGGTTAATTCTCAAGTATGATTTTATCCACTATAAGAAAGTGCAAATTTTGTCTGAGCTTGGACAAATCAGCTTTTTGTTCCACGCTCTGTGACAACTCTGATTTCATATTTGATTTTTTTTCACTGAAAAGATTTATGCTCAAACTCCAATTATTCCCAATTTCTAAGACTGATATTTCATGCAGAAGGAATATTGCAAAGGGCTAACACATAACATAAATGAGACAAAGTAGCAAAACTAACCAAGAAAATCCTCAAATTAATATAACTTAAGATGCAGTTAAACTCATTTCCTTCTAATGAAATGAAATTGAAGAATTATATTAGAAAGCATTGAATTCTTTTCTTCTATCCACAACAAATCAAGTCTATCCACAGAATTAAAACCAAAATGCTACATTAATTTGGTGCTAAATGTTTCCTCTACGTCTTTAATAGCCCTCAGAAAGAAAACACAAATGGGTTTCAGCAGTATGGTGTTAAATCATTTATGGAAGACCTATTTCTGCATCAGATATTGCAGTAGGACACTTCAAGCAAGTTAACAGACCTGGAGGCTGCAGCAGACACTGAGAAAATGATGGTAAGCAATTCACACACTCAGTGCATGCAAAAGCCCAAGATACCACAAATACTATTTAAAAAAGACAAGCTGCACAGCACTTGACAGATCTGCTCAATAGTCACTTGCTTCAGGTGCTCATTTTCAAATATGAGCATAAACATCTTATTTCTCTACATGATCTCAATTAGATGCAGAGAATCCACAGTTTCCTACAGTAATAGATACTAGGTTTCTTTTTATTTTTTTTTTCGTGTAAAGAGGATGATGAGATAAATGACGGCCTCTATTTATATGACTGACATTATGATAATAAAAAAGTTTTAATTGAAATGATTATGTCTATGAGTATCTCTGTAAGCAATTATGTAAGATACACAGAACAACTCCCACAGAGCCCTGCTCCCATTTTGGCAAGCCTGTGTACAAATGGATGGAGAGAGTGCATGCACTCATACTCACAGTCCAAAGGCAATGTTTGAGGCTCTCTTCCCCACCCCATAATTTATGTTGTCTCTTAGGGAAAAAGACAATTCACTGTCCTACACACAAATCTTAATGGGGGGGTCAATAATTTAGGGACAAACATTAAATTAAGCAATACACACAAAAAGATATTTGGTTCTTATGAATTTCTCTGGAAGTGCTTACTAAAGGATAGTGACAGATGATGAGATTAGAAAAGGCACTTGAAAATAAATTATGGTGATGTGCTGCTGCAGGAGAATAACTGATGTAGGTTTGGCTACCTGTCAACTTATATTATATATTTAAATGAGAAACCTCTTTAGACTTTCTACAAAATAAAATGCCTATGCATATAATACATATGCACATACACAAATTAAGTTACCTTGAAAAAACATGAAGTTTTAAAATATACTTGAGGTGGGATTCTTTTTGAAGTAGCCAAAATAATGTATTTATTCACCTTTATTGATATCCTACCCCTAATATATATCAGTTCATTTTCTGCATTATGAATGGACCAAAGAAAAGCTTTTAAAATATATCATGCATACCTGCATTTATGTGTGTGTTCATGATTAAAAGAAACCTAATAAAAAATATAAGTATGTAAATATACGTGAAAAGTTTGTTGTTTCCTAAGTGGACTTCCCTCTTACAAAGTCAGACTAACCAATTTATGACTTATCCCACACATGTTCCAATCAGAGTGCTTCCTGAGACACATAAAATTTGTGCCTAACTCAGGACTTATAGCTGGTAAATATTTTAAATTCAGGTCTTCTTGATCCCCAAATCAATTTCTCTATCTACCATGTCATATTGAATTTGTATTCATTTGTCAGTTTTCTGTCTATTATCTCTTTCCATGCATACACATATTTGAATATATAGATACACTTATATATTTATAGATTGAAATATATATCATAGATTTTTTTTTATTTCATAGGACATAATAAGTTGGTCTTCTTTACTCTCTCTTCTTTTTCTGTACCTATTGCTCCAAGCTTCACTGATCTACCTCATGACTTCCCTTTCTCCCCCTTACCATCAGAAATCCATAGCCTTGCTTTATCCCCACTGCCACCCCTTCCCTTTTTTCTGACATTCTCTGATTATGGTTTAACCATGCTGGAGGGATCTATAAGTTCACCTCTTTCACTGTTGGCAACAAAACAACCAGATGTTCTCTTTGAGTAGAACATTTCCTAAAATGCATCCCCAAATGGGACAGTTCCATTTAAATCAACAGGTCCAGTCAAGCACAACCACCAAAGTTACACTAAGTGCTTGAGCTTCTTCCTAGGATACTAGACTTGAGATATATAATTGAAGTCCATTAATGATAGTGTTTAGGGAATGGAAATATTGAAAGTCTCTAAGATAAAGGTAGTAGTCTCTAAGATAAAGGTACTGACAAAGGTAGCCTATTCTATTTTGGATGGTTCTAATAATTAATTTTTCCTTATATTGAACCAAAATATGCCTCCTTCTAGCCACTAGAATATTCTTATGTTCTGACACTGTAGAGAATTATGCTTTATTTGATGGAACTAGAGAAAAAGAAATCGATTTGTTGAGTTTCTCTGTTTAAAATAAAATACCCTTTTGAATTATTACAAACCCTGCTAAAATTGCAGTGCAGAATTGAACATTTATAAAAGCAAATGTTTATAGGCACAATAAAGAGAGCTTCTTGAGCAAGGTGTGTTGTATACTATATCATATAGAGTCACCTCTAAGCAAGCATTTGTTAAGTATCTTCCATGGACTAGCCATGATACTACAAAAAAAAAAAAATGAGTAGCCCCTTCCAGCAAGGAACTTACATTTGATTCAAATAAGATAACATACATATGGGCACAGATAATTGTGTAGGCTAGATATATAAAATAGACAAAAAGTACTTTCTGGGAGAAGGGCGCAAACAATTGGTGGAATCATGACTGGAGTCCTCAGGTTATTGTCATTTGAAGTGCATTTTAAAGGAAGATAAGAATTCTAGGAGCTAAGGTGAGGAGGAAGTGCATTCCCCACATGTAGAAGAGATTATGCAAAATTAGGAAGAT